ACTTCACTCACTGCCCTGCCCCCTAACCTATACACAATAAATGCTCACGCTTCTGGACATTCAGGGCCTTGCCTGACTCTGCTTATAGGTGGCGTGGCCCCCGAGCCCAGCTGTGTTTTCTTTGTACTTCTGTGTCCTGTCTTATTTCTCGGATCCCGCGCCTCAGCACAGCATAAGGCTCACCCCACGACCCTGTGGGGCCCTCAGCCCTACATCTGGCTCCCCATGTGCCCTACAGCCCCTCTGGCTCTAAGTCCGATCTACCATGAGCCATGCCAGCTCTCAGCAGGGCTTGTGAACAGCCATCAACTGTTCCTGTCCACTCCTGCAAGGGAGGCGACACCACCACAGGCAGCTGCGCCCAGCACGTTAATCAGGGTGGTCCTCCAGAGTGTGGGGACAGCTGAGGGTGTCTTCCCTCCATTCAAATGGCCTTACAATGTCCAAACAGATGCCCTTTCCATAAGGAATAGCAAGCGAACATTTGAAGTGAACAAATGTGCTTGTCCTTAATTTAGAGAACTTCATGGTTTCCACAAGAACCTACCAGTTAGAACATTCTGGGTCTGCCATGGCAGGTTCTTGCTAGGTGGACTGAGAACTAAGCAGTGAGGAGGTGTTCAGCGTTCAGCCGGCTGTACTGTTGGCCACGGGAAGGCATCATCCGGCTTCTCCAGGAGCACACGGTCCCAGTGTGGCTTCAGAAAGGTCGCATCACGTAACTGGAAGCAAGGCTGCAAAGCAAGCTGAGTAGAAGCAAGAGACATATTAATGCAGTAAAAAAAATTTTTTTATTTCCAAATTTTACTTGCTATTTCCAAATTTTATTTGCTGTATTGATTATCATTAATCCAGCAAATCATTTATTTGCTGGATTGATGATCATTCATAGTTAAGTATTTCCTGTTGTGTGTTGGGCAGGAATGGATAGATGAACAGCTTTCAACCAAAGACTTGTACTCCCCTTTCAAAATGCAGATATTTTGCTGAAAAGTCGCTGCTCCATGAGAGACTGCATTTGCAAGCTCATCTTGCATCAGTGAACCCAGGCAACTGCGTCCCAGGCAGTGCCGCATGAATAGGGTGATGCAGCCACAGCCAGTTCCAGCATATAAACATCCCCACGGACCCTCCACTCCGGCTTTGGCCTCACCTGCCTGCTGCGTGTTAACAGAGCTGACTTCTCTGTGTTCTCAGAAGACCCATATTAAAGTCAGGTGGGGGTCCCTGAAAGCCTACCTGACATAGAGTCTCCCTGCTGGTTAGGAACACCCATTTTGGACTTTATATGAATGAAAAATAAAACTTCTGTTATGTAAAGCCCCTGTAATTTTAGAGTTTTCCAGTTACCATTGCTGGTGTCCCTTTCTTAACTGCTAGTGTGGAGAAAATTCCACAATCTCTGAAAGAGAACCACTGACTACCAGTTAACAGTTGTCAAGATTTGAAGGTAGGAGTGAAAGGAAACAGCAGGATCTAAGGTGAGTCTGTCGAGAGATGTGGCCATATGGGCACAAGAACACGCTCTTTAATGTAATAAACGTGTGCACAGCACCTACTAACAAGTGGGTGCTGTGCTGAGGGCCTTTGTCTCTCTTAGAAATTGTTCACCATCAAAGACAAGCAACACTAGACACTTGTTAAAGGTAGCACGACAGATTTTATTCAGACTACTGCAGGGGGGAGAGAGACTCCAGTAAACTCGGAGCTCAACCCAACCAAGACTAAGGTAACTGAGGTTTCTAAACGGAGGACAGAGAGGAACCAATAAGGGGCCACGAGGAAGTGAAAAAGGGCAAACATGAAAGGGGCTGGGGTACAGTGGGGAACACAGAAAGAGGGCTACGTGGAAACAGAAAATGCCCGAGGGAGTGGAAATTATCAAAAGCATTTGTTGCTGTGGGTTGGGACAGTACATTTTGCAGTTTCGCAGCATTGGATTTCTTGAGTGGACTCACCACGTGGCTGGGTCACGTAGGGGACACAACTGAGACCAGTTCTGGAAGCATGGCTGGGGTGCAGTCGGGTCTCTCAGCGCAGTGTTCAGGCACTTGGCGCTTCAGGGAAGTTCATAGTTCATATTATAAACACCAGAGAATATGGATGCAGGTTGTATTAGCTTTCCACTGTTTCTGTAATCAATTACCAAATACTTTGTCACTTAAAGGAATACAAATATATTATCTTAGCACACTGGAGGTCAGAAGTCTAAAAGGGTCCACAGAACTGCATTCCTTCTGAGGCTCTGGGGAGAATCTCCCAGTGGGCCTCTTTTAGGAGGGCTCATGACCCTTTTTAAATCATCAAAGCCACTAGCGTGATACCCTCTCTCCTTCCGGCCTCTGCTTTTATCCTCACATCTCCTTCTGACTCTGACCCTCCTGCTACCCTCTCGTGAGGACCCATGTGATACTGTTGGGCCCACCCAGCAACCCAGGGTGATCTCCCCATCTCGAGATTCTTAATCACATTTGCAAGTCTATTTTGCCATGTGAGGTGATGTGTTCTTAATTTCCAGGGAATAGGATGTGAGCATTTTCGAGGGGTTATTATTCTGCCTACAATAATGGTTAAGCAAAAAAACAAGTGGTGACTTCTTAAGTGTAGTTCTGTGTAGACAAGGTCTTAACCACAGCGTGTCAGGGTACTTTATCCTTACCTCAGATATCTATGATGGAGAAGTAGGAGTGTTCTAAGGCAGTCATTTGGCAGTCTTTCTAGCTCCTGCAATAGAAAGAATTCTAAAGAGTGAATCTGAAGCTACTGCACAGGTATGCCTCTCTCTACAAAGAGCATGCTGCAGAAGGATTGGCAGACCTCAGAGGAGCTTATGGTTTTTATGATTCATCCCATGGTGAATCATCTCAGGATAATTGTCCACTAGCCTATTTTGGATTCTTTGTATTTTTATATTCTTAAAGTATATGTGTCATCTATCTATTGATCCAATAATGCTGCAAAATAAAATACCTCAAAATACAGTGGCTTAAAACAATTATAATTGAAGATTGCACTCTCCTCTCTGATGATGGGCTCACTCAGGCATCTGTGGCCAGCCTCAGATCTAAGTGGAAGCTTTGCAATCCTGCTGGGCTTGCTGCTTGATTTGGGGTCAGCAGTCTGCAGACTTGTCTGCGATGCTCTTGGCTGAGATTGCTGGCTGTCTCCACGTGGTGCTCACAAGCACATGCCTCTCCCATCCCTTGACTAGGTTAGCCTGGGCATGTTCTCAGGATTGCAGAGAAGTGAGAGAGGCAACACAAATCTGTGGAGGCTTCTTAAGGCCTCTGCTTGACCCAGGTCTGCTAACATTCTTCTGGCCACCATGAATCTCATGACCAAGCTGAGCTTCAGGGTAGGGAAGGGGCCTTCAACTCTTAAATGAGAGGAATTGCAAAATCACAGGGCAATGGGCATCAGCACAGTGAGACGTGCAGCTGCACCACGAATGCAGACATTCCTCCACAGTCCACAGTCCCAGTGTCTCTAGAAATCAAAATGGCAGCAAGGAATTTCCTCTTGCATTATTTAACTCCCATCTTCCCTAATAAGGAGAATAATTCTCATTGATCGATGTGTCTCTTTCACAATGCATGGATGCAAGTTTCCCACCACCGGAGCCCAAGGGTACCCTTAGAGCACAAGAGATGGAGTTTTAAGGGCAATGTAAGTGCCCACTTGCACAATTGGAATATCAAATTGATTACTTTAGAAAATCTTCCTATAGACTTTCTTGGAGAAACAACATTGTTGGTGAGTAGTGGACTTCAGGCTGCTACACAGGTAAAGGTCTCTCCTAAATATCTCTGTGGAGACTGCCAGGAATGTGATGTCTACACCCTTAGCTGTTTTCAAACACACTTACTGTCTTAGCAATCACATGGTTTCAGAATTGAGAAAAAGAAGATAGCTGAAAATAAAGGGAGAAAAGTAATTCATTAGAGAGAGCAAAGAAACTACCGACTATATGAGAAACTTCCACATAGGGACCACCAATCCCTGTGGAACCATGTGAGGAAGGTCCAGTCATCTGAACGGTACTGATGAAGAATTATGTATTAAGTTTCATCAGCCATTTAACAAGTACATAACAGAGCCAGGATTCAGCCCGAGACCATCAACTTTAAAATCACTGTCCTTTCCCAAACCTTGCAGTAATTCATAATCAGAGCCTGCTGTCAGAAGTTACAGGCAATGCATCCATGTGGCTATTTCTCCATGGTCTCTCAATGTCGAGCTCATCAAGAAAACAATTAGCCTCAAAGTCAATAAAATTCCTTCTAAAGTACAAAATAAATTATCAAATTGTAATTATTTCTAAAAATATATCTTTTTATAGGTAATTTATTAATTAGGTTCCTGTTTAATTAATAACTAGTTCTTAGTAATTGGTTTTGGAAACTTCCTAGTCCTTGTGATTCAGAGGGTGCTGTAGTGTTTCTTCCGTGTGATACCATTAAACTCCTTAAGTCACACGGGCTGCGTGTCACTTGGCTGCCCAGAGTAAACATGCCAAGCCATCACCTGTTTCCCAACAGTGCCTTCGTTTATGACAAAGCCATGGACAAAACAATTACGTTTGCTGATGTAGGTCCTTAGGCTCCAGAAACCACACCTGTCCTGTCAGAACAAGCTCAGGTAATGTGTGACTGCCAACTGCTTATGTAAATCATATTTATTGAAGATTAACATGCACACAATGCATGTTAATCTTAACACAATGCATGTTATAAAGCCTTAAGCTTTATAGAGAGAGTTACAAACATGTGACTGCAGTTTGACACCAATGTTTTCCTCCACTTGGGTTAAAATGTCACCATTTGGAGTGTTAAGATTAAGAACACGGGGCTCTTAAGAACAATTGTGCGCCACTTTATCATTTTGACTAGCTTCCCAAAATATTCCCAAGGAGTCTTTGTGTGTGGACCAAAGATTTGGCTTGCCTCAGTGCCCGCTGGGTAGCCAGGAGATAATGTTTCAACACGAGGATCTTCTTGGACTACCCCTCAGAGGGCCCAAAGCAACCTCGGGCAGCTGTGAGGGCTCTCCCCTCTCCAGTGGTCCTGGCCCTGCTGAGGGCAGGTGCCTCCCGAGCCTGACTTCCACACTGTCCTGGTGTTTCGGTTCCAGGGACAATGACTCAGCAGCTTCTTTTGTACCAGGAAGTCTGTTTTCCCTTTGTTTCTTGTTTTCTGATGAACTTCAAAGCTGCCTTAGGGTACTTATAAGAAAGAGAATTGAAAGCTAGTGAAAGTTCAAACAAAGGTGACTGAAGTGATTCAAAGTGAAAAGTAAATAATAAAACAAAAAAAGTTAAAGGGTTTTCTCATTATATTGTAATATATTTTTATAAAGGGAAAAATTGATCAGTTTTTCCATAAGTTTGGAAGAAACTTTTTCCATAACAAGAAGAATCAGGCTTAAATTAAAACAGAGATATTTTGCTCAGCTAGAGAAAGGAATGCTGATCTTCCACCATTAGATAAGTTGGGCCAGGCACAGTGACTCACGCCTGTAATCCCAGCACTTTAGCAGGCTGAGGCAAGCAGATCACGAGGTCAGGAGTTCAAGACCAGCCTGGTCAACATGATGCAACCCCATCCCTACTAAAAATAAAAATAGGCCGGACGCAGTGGTTCATGCCTGTAATCCCAGCACTTTGAGAGGCTGAGGAGGGCAGATCACGAGATCGAGACCATCCTGGCCAACATGGTGAGACCCCATCTCTACTAAAAATACAAAAAAGTTAGCTAGGAATGGTGGTGTGTGCCTGAGTCCCAGCTACTCAGGAGGCTGAGGCAGGAGAATTGCTTGAACCCAGGAGGTGGAGAGATCATTGCAGTGAGCCGAGATCACACCACTGCACTACAGCCTGGGCGACAGTGTAAGACTCCGTCTCGAAAATAAATAAATAAAAATAAAAAAAAATTAGCTAGGCATGGTGGCACTCACCTGTACTCCCAGCTACTCGGGAGGCTGAGGCAGGTGAATAGCTCGAACCCAGGAGGTGGAGGCTGCAGTGAGCTGAGATCATGTCACTGCATCACAGCCTGGGCGACAGAGTGAGACACTGTCTCAAAAAAAAAAGATGAGTTATGAAGGATGTTTCTGTCTGTTGTGAGGAGTGAAGAAATAATAGCCACCATGCATACTTGTTAACAAGAATTTAATAAATATTTCATGTCTTTTCAACTTGTTTAAACATTAAAAAGGCATTTTTGCTGAATTATGTTGTTCTTTTTGGACAAGATCCTCTGAGTCAGAGATTAGCAGGATGTTCCCCGGTGTTCTGTGTGCCACACACAGGTGAGCAGGAGTTTTGCTCTCCAATAAGCTTGAGAGGTCATGTAGCAAACAAAATTAAACGGATTTCTTTAGTGCAGAAAATATTCATTCTTCAAAACACCAACATGTGATTTTAATCACCAAGAGGGCATTTTAAGAAGTTTCCAAAGTGTACCTCCAGGCAGGACCCATTTCCTGGGTCCTCAATGTCTCCCACTGCAGAGTCCTGCAGACCGCCTGGGAAAATATCCCTCTTCCTGGAGTCAGGGGTTTTAGTGTAAGTCCCGTTAAGAGCTTTAAATATCACTTTTATTTAAGACCCAATAATTCTACTCTCATTCAATTTGGGGCCCAATTATTTTGTCACTCTTCTAATTGAGTATCTTTGGTATACCCTGTTTAATTTCCAGCTTCAACCAGGCCTGGGCCCCAAGGCCCAATCTGACCTTGCTCTGCCACGTCCAGCTGTTACGACTCTCCACAACCTGCCCTAGGTCCTCTAACTACTTTGCCAGATTTACTCTACAAGAAACACTAACTTTGGCACCTAGCAGAGCAGGTATCCAGCAACTTTCAGAGCACATAGTGTGAAAAACAATAGGAAAAGAATTTGTATATAGTGACTGCACCTTGAGAAAATGAGTAAAATCTAAGAACTCTCTGTAATTAGAAGTGAAAACCCTGAAACAAGAACCAGGTATTACAGAGGAGGCTGCATAGGGCAAGGCCCATGGCACACACCAGGGAATTTCTTTCTTGAAAGAAATGGCATCAAAACAAAAATAATGCCCTCAGTTGCCCTGGGAGGGGCGGTTAGAGAACACAGCACAGAGAAGAAACTCCTGTCTAATGCTGGTTTCTACCTCACGTGAACTTGGTATGTTTTGTGTAACACAGCAGTCTGCGTCTCTCTCACTGCAGCTGCTCTCTGATGGTCTCAACAAAGCCCTTTATTCTCCTATAAAGCCTCCACGGTAAGGAAAATACTTGCATGACGTTCTACACAGCACCTGGCCTGCAGTAGACACTGCTATAGTTAAAACCGTCTGGCAGAATCAATTGAATAAGCTCAATGGATCTTCAGTGATCAGTGAATTGTCTTAACCAGGCTTACTTGTGTCAGCTTATGTTTCATATTCTATTATTCTCAAAACACAGTCACATAATTCTGCCTGAAAGCACAGGGATCTAACGTTCTGGATAACCTAAGAAAGCCAGTGCTGCAGGTGAGCCATTTCCACATGGATTTTCAAAATGTTGAAATGATGAATAGATTTCTGACATTACTTTTGAGGATCTCAAATATCCTGGAAACTCGGGTGTGAAGTGTCTCCTTTAGCAGGTGTATTATTCTTAACAAATGGACTCCCTGAAGCAGCCCCCAGCTCCTTCCACGGTGGCCTCACAAGCACTTCACCTCGCTGTTGGTGCCTTACCAGGTCTGCAGTGGGTTCCTGCTGCCTCTTCATGCACCTCCCCCACTGTCTTTCCCCCACTTCTATCCACAGGAGATGTAAAGTGCATGTAACTTAAAGGCTTGCAAAGGACAAGGTTGATTGTTGAGAGGCTTTGCCATTCATGACAAACCCTTGCAAGAGGGGGTGAGTCACACAGAGCTTAGCAAATACCAATCAGAGTCTGATCAGAAAGCAGCATTGGGGTTTTTAAGACAGCTTTTCTGTAAATTTCTTTAGCAGAGGAATTTGTTTTTTCCTGACTATTAGAGAGCTATAAGACACATCGACTCTCAGCCCTGCCACTGCTTTCTTCACAACAGAGCCAAATAGACCTGAGGTCCCACATAGGTCAACATCCTTAATTTAAAAATGGAGAAATTAAGCCCAGTAAAAGTTAACTAGCCTGCACAAAGCCACCCAGTTGGTTAGAGCTGGCAGTATAACTAGGGGGGCCATACAGATCATCCTCCAAACTAAGATAATTTTGAGAGTGGAGGCCAATGTTAGTAATCATGCCAGGGTCAGGTATGGTGGCTCACAGGTGTAATTCCAGCACACTGGGAGGCCAAGGTGGGCTAATCAACTGAGGAGTTTCAGACCAGCCTGTCCAAAATGTTGAAACCCATTTTGAAAATACAAAAATTAGCTGAGCATGGTAGCAAGCACCTGTAATCCCAGCTACTCCGGAGGCTGAGGAACGAGAATCGCTTGAACCCAGAAGGCAGAGATTGCAGTGAGCCAAGATCTCGCCACTGCACTCCAGCCTGGGTGACAGAGTGAGACTCTGTTTCAAAAAAAAAAAAAATCACACCCAGATAACAGACATAAAGTTGGACTGTCCAGGCAAACAAGGATATGTGAACCTCCTAACTCTAATCAGACCTTCTGCATCTTAGAGTCAGTCTACCTGAACACCAGTTAGTAGAAATAGTTACAAGTGCTTTTGTACAATGATGGGTATTGAAAATGAAAATGGCTTTTGATGGAAAAAATAATTTTTTATAGTTTACAGCTGATAAAATATTTTAGGTTTATGCAATTTACTGTAATAAGTCTAGAATCCATTCTTCATTTGCAAACTAATGTTTTGCATTAACATAACTAGAACAAAACAAGGCAATTAAATAAAGATGTCAATTTTCAAATCCCTCAGTTTAAATTTAAAAAGGCAAATAATTCATCCCTCAATAATTGGAATTGAATAATTTTGAAGGAAACTTTTAATTTAGCTTTCACATTGGATTCTCGGACTTGCCATTATCTGTATGTGGAAAGAGACGTCAAGTTCACTAATAAAAATATAAACACCATAATTAAATTTTTCATTATGGAGTGAAACTAAAACATGAAAACATGTTGTTATAATCAAAAACTAGGTAATGCATTTTTAATACTTTTCATTTAAAGAAGTAGCTGAAAAACAGAGGTGTTAATAATTTACCAAGAAAATAAAAATATAAATCAACTGAAAAATGTCTCTGGGTTACCTAATGTCAGATACTCTGCTAGTTTTTGGGAATTCAAATATGGAAGAGTAAAGTTTCTGGTTTTGAGGATGTTATATAAAATGTGGTTGGAAAAAATATTACATAAAGCTTGAAAAAAATATACACCTGATAGTACCACACAGGCTATCAGTTTCTAGGGAGTGGGGTTGCTGGGCAACTTTTAGATGGAAAGAAGAGCACACAAAGTGGAGAAAGAATGAAGTTGAGCCACAGGAGTGTGTGGACGGAAGCAGGGGTCTGGGAGGAGCATGGGATTAAGTTGACAGGGGAATGCATCACCACCAACACAGCCTCGAAACTTCAACGTGAAAGTGCTTAGGGTAAACAAGGAAATGGTTTGGGCACCACCAGGCCCTTGGCATTTCTGCCCTTACAACTTTCTGCATACAAAGATATCATGGGCAGTATTTTTTTTTACATTTCGGTGTCACATTTGCAATGAGAAGAAAACCCTAATCTTTAAATATACAAATAACTTTTAGTCTCTTCTACCGGGTAAATATTAAACCATTTCTCCCAAATCGATGTCATCTTTTTTTCGACACTGTTTCTGAAATATTTAAAGAAAGTCTATATCAAAACTTCCTTAATAGGATCAGCTTCTGGCACTGATGGTGTTCGGACTATGGAAAGGCGTTTGGAATAATTTTTATCTGACATTTCTGGCCGTTCGAATAGAAGTGGGGGCTGGCCACAGTGGCTGACGGCTGTCATCCCAGCACTTCGGAGGCTGAGATGAAAGGACCACCTGAGGCCAGGAGTTTGAGACCAGCCTGGGCAGCATAGTGAGACCCCATCTCTATGGAAAACAAGACAGAAGCCATTAGTTTTATTTATTTATTTATTTTTACTTAGTATATAATAATTGTTTTTTTTTTTTTTTTTAATATTTTTTTTTTTTTTTTTTTGAGATGGAATCTCACTTTGTCTCACAGGTTGGAGTACAGTGGCCCCATCTTGGCTCATTGCAATCTCTGCCTCCCAGATTTAATCAACTGTCCTGCCTCAGCCTCCTGAGAAGCCAGGATTACAAGCGCCTACCATCATGCCCAGCTAATTTCTGTACTTTTAGTAGATACAGGGTTTCGCCATTTTGGCCAGGCTGGTCTCAAACTCCTGACCTCAGATGATACACCCATCTTGGCCTCCCAAAGTGCTGGGATTACAGGAGTGAGCCACCATGCCTGGCCCAGAGTGATATTTTGATATATGTACATGTGCAATTATCAAGTCAGGGTAATTGGTATATCCATCACCTCACACGTTTATTTTATTATTGTTATTATTATTTTGAGACAGAGTCTGGCTCTTTGCCCAGGCTGGAGTGCAGCAACATGATCTTGGTTCACTGCAACCTCCACCTCCTGAGCTCAAGCAATCCTCCCATCTCAGCCTCCCGAGTAGCTGAGACTACAGGTGCTTGCCACCACACCCAGCTAATTTTTGTATTTTTATGTAAAGATTGGATTTTGCCATGTTGTTCAGGCTGGAGTCAAATTCCTGAGAGATCCACCTGCCTCAGCCCTCCAAATTGCTGGGATTACAAGCATGAGCCATATATTCTGGCAATTACATCATTTCTTTGTACTGAGAACTCACAAAATTCTCTCTTATAGCTACTTGAATATATACAATAAATTATTGTTAACTATAGTCACCCTACAATGCTATAGAACGTTAGAGTTTATTCCTCCTAACTGTAAGTTTATATCTGTTAACCAACCTCTCTCTATCCTCCCCAACTACCTGTCCCAGCCCCTAATAACCACAGTTCTACTCTCTACTTGTATAAAATCAGCTGTTTTTAGTTATCGATATGAGTGAGATCATAAGGTGTTTCGAGAATTCCCTCTTTGTCTTTGACTTTTGACAGTTTGACTATAATGTGCCTCAGAGAGGACCTTTTTAGAGTGAATCTATTTGTGTGTCTTGAGCTTATCATATCTGCATGTCCATATCACTATGGACCTTATGGAACTAGCATAATTTTCAATTATTTCATCAGATAGATTTTATTCCTTGTTCCATCTCTTTTCCTTCTGCAACTCTCATAATGCAAAATTTTTTTTACTTAATGGTGTCCCATGTGTCACATAGACTTACTTCATTCTTTTTTATTCTTTTTTCTTTTTCACTGACTTCTATATTTTAATATATGTCTTCAAGTTCAGAAATATTTCTTCTGCTTTGATCTACTCTATTATTGAAGCTCTCAACTGTATCTTTTCTTTTATTGTTGAATTCTTTAGTCCCAAGATTTCTGGGTTTTTTGATGATATTGACTTCTGTTGAATTTCTCATTCAGATTATAAATTGTTTTCCTGATTTTATTTTCCTGAATTTGTTTTCCTTTGTCTCTCAGGCTCTGGGGAGCATGCATGGTGGCTCCCTCAGTCCTGGGGTCAGCCTCTCTGCTGTGCAGAACCACATCTTCCTTGGAATGTAGGGCAATGTGTGGGCTTGGGTGCTGAGGTCACAGCTTCAGAGCTAGATCCAGCTGCTGTGGTGACATTGCAGCCCTTTGGGTGGATGTTGGAAGGATATGACCTGGGCCTCAGGGATATGGAGATACAGGAACAATTGGTTCTATGGCCATATGGTTTGGCTGAGTCCCCACTCAAATCTCACCTTGAATTGTAATAATCCCCACATGTTAAGGACAGGGCCAGGTGAAGATAATTGAATCACAGGGGCAGTTTCCCCATACTGTTCTCGTGGTAGTGTGGTGGAATCTTTGGGGTCCACCTCTCTGACTGGTGGCACCTTTGCCCGAGTTCTTGTCCTGTGTCCAGGAAGAATGAGGTATGCAGACAAGTGGAGCCACTTTGGTGGCTGAAGCTGTGCCTGGGGTGGACCAGGCCTCTGCCTCCTCCCCATCCCGCAGGCTCCGTGAAGCGTGCAGCCCCAGCTGTGCCCTCTTGCAGCCTATGGCAGGGGCTGCAGGTCCTCGCTGGGCCTGGGCCAGCATCTGGGGCAGGGGCAACATTGCCACAGCTCCCCCATAGCCCTGGTGATCAGGGATGGCCCAGGGTGGAGCAGATCATGGACCCAGGGCCCGGCCATCAGGAGTATCAGGCTTGGCAGTCACCCCAATGTGGGGCAAATCTTCAGGAGGCCCCACGCAGAGCCTCCTCCCAAGGCCCAGGAACCTGGCACCCTCGGTGGTGTGGGTGCAGTCGCTGCACTGCTGCCTAGGTCCCCAAAGCAGGTGTCACTCCCACTTCCTGCCCCAGGCCCCCGAATCTGGCCCCAGCTCCACCTCCCAGGCCAGCCCCCACGCCCGCGTGCAAGCGCAGCACTGCCCTGGACCCAGCTGCGCCTTGGAACTCCTCTCTGCCCACCTGTGCTGCTCCCCCATCAGCAGGCAGCCAGCCCAGGGCTATTGTGGCAGCTCCAGGCACAGCTTCAGCCACCAAAGTCGAGGCTGTAGACCAGGGCCTCCATGTTCTCTTGTCTGGGAAGGTCTCCTGCCCCTCTCAAGCTCAGAAGTGTCTGCTCCTACTGCCTTACTTCTCCCTGCTGTCAGCACCCGCTCCAGTCTCAGAGACAGATCCGGGGCTGTATGCTCCACAGAGCCAGTAGGCAATGAGGGGTTCCCTGCCTCCTTCCCGTGCCCTCCCTGCAGCAGCTGGCATGATGGTGGCCACCACACCTGTACCCTTAGAAGACGTACATCTAACGGCCATTAGGATAGGGATGATGACCGTTCTTAACTGCTTCATGCTGAAAGGGGAGTTGTTTTGGTGAAGCGGTAGCCAGGGCACTCTCAGAGGCCTATCTAAGGGTTCTCAGTATTAGGGAGCCATCGTCTGAGGCTCCACTTGCGGGACTGTTTGGAATGTGACAGCCCACCCCTTTTGTTTCTTCTGAGTTGCAATCAGAAATCACGGTTGACTCACACCCCACAATTGTCAAATACTACAAATAGCTCTAAATTAAAGCTTCCTTGATTGTGAAAAACAGAACACAGGGATATGAATGTTCCAAGTGAAGAGCCAAAAAAGGTTACTTCAGTCTTCCCTTAGTTCAGATCACCTGGTCAAGTGCTGCTCCCAATCTCCACAGTTATTAGAAACCTGCATTTGT